CATTTTCCCGGGCCAGAACCAAGGTCCTAGGCTATTATCACCAATATAGCACCCTTTTTCCCACACTTGACATCCCAACCCGATTGAGATCTTGATGCCTGGGTGCCGGGCAGTCGAATTCAAACCCAGCCCGGGTTCCGGGGCAATGTATGGCACAGCCTGGGGCATTAATACATTACGCTTAAAACATTACTGGGTATTGCATAAGGGTTTGTTAAAATATTAGACATGTAATACATTAATACTACAGCATTAGGTGGTTGGAAGGATACCACAACACTGCCACTATTGTCGAGATGGGTGCACTCGCTTACATAATGCAGTGGAGCGCCTGCTGAACGAGATCGAAGTGTCGAGGAGTGCAGGAAATAACTGGAAAAATCAATAAAAACTCGAATTTTGCTTGTGCCACCAGACCGGGAGCCCTAGCCCTATCGCACATAGCGTGAGAAATAGCGCAAAAGTGCCAAAAATGCGTTTTCTGAGCCTAGAGACACATAGGGTGTATCAGTGCAAGTACGACCAAGAGCGTGCGCAATTTTGCTAAGTCCGCGCATACACAAGCATGCATTTGTATTGACTACGTATTGACTACAAATCGTTTGTTACTAGATCTCGATCCTGGAACTCTGCCAGACTCAGATAAGCTCAGATCAACTCAGATCAACTCAGCTGTCAAAATATACGAGTCTGGTGGGCTAAAATAAAGTTAGTCCAGGTGAACCGAGTTCCCATGACAAATCCACCAGCCTCTCTAGAGTGATTTTGCCCCAATCGCTCTATGAGAGGGTGGTTACGAGCCTAACTCTTCTGACACAGGAACATAACAGCCCAAAAACGTGAAGCATCATCTACAAACACAATCCAGTAGAGATAGCCTTCTGGAGTTGCAGTAGGCATGGGGCCCTTGAGATCTGTGTGCACAAGAGCGAGTCTGCGCTGTTTTCTCAAGGCAGTCTTGGGGACATTGTGCCTGTGCATTTTGCCTGCAAGACAAGGCTCACATATGGGGTCTGGTGACGCAGTGACTAGCTGCTTGGAGACTACTTGATGCAAGTCCTCCAGATTGGTGTGGGAGCAGTGCTTGTGCCATAAGTCCAAGTCTAAGTGCAATGTACTGAGCGCAGAATGAGCAGAATGTGACATAGGCACAGTGCTGCCTTCAAGATAGCCTGTGTTTGTATCATTGACTTTGGCTTGGAACTGCAAGGCTCCTCTGAGGTAGAACTTGGCATGCAAACCCTGAATCTCGCATAGGAAGCCTTTCTGGCGCGTGAGATGGAAGACAGAGAGTAGATTGGAGCCAAGGTCTGGAACATGGAGTACATCATGGAATACAACTGGGGTAAACTCTTTTCCATCCACAAGGGGGTGAAACTCGACTGATCCTAATCCAGCAGAATAGATACTCTGGTGGTTGGCTAAGCGAATGTGAATGTGATGAGGAGAGTAGGATTGAAACCAATTGCGATGTGAAGTCATGTGTGCTGAAGCACCAGTGTCTGTGTTCCAGCATGTAGCTGAGGACGTCTGGAGCCATGCAGATCATTCAGAGGATGACAGGAGCACTGCAGCATGCCCAGCAAACTCTTCAGAATCCTGAGACATGGTCTGCCTCCTACTGGGCCACTTTGAGACATCCTTCTTCACTCTGATACTGTCTCTCTCCTTCCTGTAACATGTGGCTTCAGTGTGGGATGCCTGGATACCACAGTAGGAGCACAGAAGGTTGAATTTCGAAGAAAATGACTGGGACATCATGAAAGCAGCAGGATGAGCAAGTGGGATGAGTGAAAGAACAATGAAGAGTGGCTGAGTGGCACACAACTACAAAGGAGTGCAAGAACAGTGAAGGACTGGCAGAGATGGGTGTCTGAAGATCTAGAGCCTTGGGCTCATAACCTGTTGGCTGTGGAAGATACTAGCTTCAGACAACACCCAAGGGCTAAGTCAAACTGTGTCAAGACTATATTCTGGCATAAGGAATACAAGTGGCAGACTCACCTAAGTCAAACTGTGTCAAGACTGTCAGCATTAGTGCCTATTTGGACATTCAGACTCCCCAGTATGTGTGTCTCTGTCCTTCTTTGACTCGGACCTGTTGTGTCCTATTTTCTTTTCGATGTTTCCTTATTCATCTCACATCTTTCCCATGCCACATTATTCCCTAAAATGCATTCAGAGTCAAGCTCTTCTTCATCCAACTGATAGAGCTTGACTCAGGTGTGTAAACTGTCTGTATTGTAGTTATCCAAACTTATAGAGCTTGACTCAGGCTTCCTGGTGTGCATTGTGAGACCTACAGGCTTCCAGCTTGATAGGTTATGAGCCCAACACTTTAGGGTCTCCAAAATCGCACTTTTAGCTCATCATCTGCACTCTAGAGGTACATCCAACTATTAGGGTGCAATAAATGACCAGACCAGGGATTGAACCCAGGGCCTACTGGATGATACCCAGATGCTCTACCAACTGAGCTATCTGGTCCTAAGTTCAGTGGAGGTAACTAGTCATATGACTGGTTACAGCTGAGTGTAACTGTAGCCTCCACTCTAATGGCACACACACAATGCACTAAGTGTTATGAGGGCTTATGACAGTACAGGGACCCACTCCTGTTGGATGAGTAAGCGTGATTACCAATTCCAACACCAACCTCATCTGGATCCATCCATCTGCCATAGTGGTCCATCCAGACCCTACGACGTTGATTCCAGCTTCCTGCCACTGTCCTATGCTTTTTCACTGTGTGATTATGCCTAGAATCGCTCCTTGGCCCATTCCGACCATCTACTCGCTCTCCAGCTTCATCTTTACCTCTGAACTTGTTCATCTGGTCTCAGACTGGTCTCTACTGCTCCATACTCTCATCCTATGCCCTCGTCGCTGTTGTCGCTACCTTATCGCCCTCCATCATTGCTGTTGCCATGTTGACAACCACTCCTACCACCAAGCGTCCATTCCCAGCTTTTGGGGAGTGCAACTATGGGTCCTGGGCCAATGATATGGAGGCCTACATGAAGACACTTGATCTCTGGGACATCACTGACGATCCTATGGCAGCTCCGCTGCCTGTAGATGCTGCGAACCTGACGATGGAGGAGAGGAAGGAGGTATGGGACTGGGAGAAGTGCAAGGGTCAGGCTAGTGGTCAGATCTGGTTGGTGGTTGAGGATGGACAGAAGGTGCATGTGAAGGACATTAAGAACGATCCTGCGAAGATGTGGTTGAAGTTGAAGGAGGTTCACATGCAGCAGAAGCCAGGTACGTGTTTCAATGCCTATGACGTGCTTCTGGGGCTTTGCAAACTTGAGGGGGAGTCCCTCGCTTCTCTTATGGCTAGAGCAGACAAGGCGATGCAGGATATCCATGCACTGCGCCCCAAGGACTTCACTATCGACTCCCTCAACAATGACCTCACCTCCATGGCTCTCATTCGTGCTCTCCCCACTGAATACAACAACTTTGTGTCATCTTTACTCCTACTCAACTCCCTTGACCTCTCCAAACTCCCATCTGCATTTCAGAATGAGGAATCCCAGTGCTTCGCTCACAGTGTTGATACTTCGCCCTCTCTGGCTATGGCTGCTGGCTCTACCTCTACTTCCTCACAGGGTGTTTGCTGCACGTTCTGTGACAGGGAGGGTCATACCGAAGCTAGCTGCAAGTTCAAGGAGAATGCTGCGAAGACACAGAAGGCGAAGACTGCTGATTGTCACCAGGAGCATAGGGGAGGGAAGAAGAAGGCTCAGAATGTGCAGGAGGTGTCCAAGGATGTTGAGGCCTCTGCTAACATTGTGGAGTATGCTGGTAAAGCAAGTGTTGCTCTCTCTGCTTCAGATCACTCTTCTTGGCTCTTGTTGCTGGCAGCTGCTAACTGGAACACCGACACAGGTGCTACTTCACACATGATGCCCCATCTACACTGGTTCACTTCCTACTCTCCCCATATCATCCCTGTGTGCCTTGCAAATGATACTATCATCTATACTGCTGGGATGGGGTCTGTGATGTTTGAGCCAGTTCTGGGAGAGTCTACAGCACCTGTAGTTGTACTCCACGACATTCTTCATGTTCCTCAGCTTGGATCTAATCTACTGTCTGTCTACCATCTGACTAAGACTAAGGGCTATTGCTGCGTGATTCAGGGCGCTCTGGCATCATTCTACTTACACAGTAAGCTTGTCTTCACTGCATCTGTCAATGATCGCAACACCGGCTATCTAAATGGTCATACGCTGGTGCCCCCATCGCAGAGCGTGTCGCTCACTGATGCTTGTCCTCTGGACTTCGCACTTTGGCACCGTCACTTGTCCCATGTCAACCTTGACTACCTTCAGCGCATGAAGCAGAAGCAGCTGGTGCAAGGTCTGGTCATTCGCTCTAGCAGCATTCCGGATCCTATCTGTGAGCCTTGCATCGCTGGTAAGCAACATCATCACGATGTCCCTCAGCACACTATGCATCCCTCAGCTCCACTAGACCTCGTTGTCTCTGACTTGAAGGGTCCACTCCCTGTCACTTCAATTGAAGGCTATCGGTACTGGATCACATTCATCGACACCCATACCCACTACTTCACTGTTGCATTTCTTAAGCCATAAGGGCAACACTTTTGCTGCATTCAAAGTCTTTAAGGTGCAAGTGGAGACAGAACTCAGGTTGAAGATCAAGTCTTCGATGGATAACAAGGGTGGCAGTATGTTGGAAAGGATTGGGATGAGTTCTGTCATCAGGCAGGTATTGTGCGCAAGCACACTGAGACGGACGAGCCATATCAGAACAGGATTGCTGAGCATGCTAACCAGACTATCCAGGCTGCCGTTACTGCTATGCTCTTCGAGGCTAAGCTTCCTGTGTCATTCTGGACTTATGCTGTGCATTACTTTGTCCATATTCATAACTGTGTCCCTCACTCTGTGCTCTCTGGTGCAATTCCCTATTCCTTGTGGAAGAAGGGAAAGAAACCTGATGTCTCCTACTTCCAGGTCTTTGGTTTGCTCACTTACATCCTTATATGCAAGAAGCAGCACAAGGCACTTTAGCCTCACACTTGCAAGTGTATCTTTGTTGGCTATGCCCCTGGTACTCATGCTTGGACTTTCTGGGATCCTGCAGAGTGCAAGTTCTTCAATACTTCTAATGCTGTCTTTGATGAATGCTGCATTCCTGGTAATGCTTGCAACATCAACCCCTTTAGCGATCCTCTTAGCTCTGTTGATGTCCCGGATGAGGGGGAAGATGATGAGCTTCCTTTGAATGTACCAGATCAGGGGGGAGATGATGACGATGATGCTCCACCCCATCCACCTCCAGCTATCACTACGCCTCCATCCCCAGAGCCTATTCCACCTCCTGGACCCCCACCAAATGTCAAACCTCCAGTCAATCCACCTCCTCAACGCTCCACTTGCTCAACGCGCCAACAGGGCTCTCTTAATGAGACTGCACTGTGATGTAGAAATCTGACTCCCCCTGGTGCTAGAGTGTCTCCTGCTGCTCCATCTCGCACCTCTGACTCTCCTGACCCACTCGAACTGCCTACACCCTCTCCAGCCCCTCCCAATGAGTTCCATCCTCCAGACGATGATGTGGAAGAGGATGAGCTCAATATCGGACCAGGGTATGTGAAGGATGAGGGTGATCTGGCTAGTGCTATGTTGGCTGGTATGGACTTTGTCTTTGCTGGTCAGACTATCGAGTATTGGTCTTGGGAGGATGCTCTGGACTACACCTTTGAGTCTGTTGTCCAGACTGCATTCAAGGGCGAGGAGCATACCAGTGAGCCTCATACATTCTGTGAGGTGATGCAGCATCCAGAGGAGGAGCACCAGCAATGGTTGAAGGCTGCTCAGGATGAAATCCAGTCTCTTGTCGAGAATGGGACGTTTGAGCTGGTTGAGTGTCCTCCAGGTCACAAGGCCATTGGGAGTCGCTGGGTCTTCAAGGTGAAGTGCAATGTGGATGGTTCTATTGAGTGCTACAAGGGTCACTTGGTCGCAAAGGGCTTCTCACAGCACCCTGGTTTCGATTACAATGAGACTTTTGCTCCAACACCTAAGTGGGCCTCTCTGTGTGCCATTCTTGCCTTAGCTGCTTTAGAGGACCTGGAGCTTGAGAGCGTTGATATCTCAGCTGCGTATCTCAATGGGACATTGGAGGAGGATGTTTATATGCATCAACTTGAGGGATTTGAGCAGAAGGGACCAGAGTGGGTTTGGTGACTACAGAAGTCACTTTATGGCCTTAAGCAGGCTGGGAGGTGTTGGCATGAGAAGCTGAATGAGGTGTTGACTGAGAAGCTAGGCTTTTCATGTTTGACTTGTGAGCACAGTGTCTGGGTCTATGCACAGGATGATGTGCATATTATCATCCCTGTCTTCATCGATGACATGACTATTGCGAGCAAGTCCTCTGCTGCGATTCAGAAGGTCAAGGATGACTTGAGGCAGCATTTCAAGCTGTGTGACTTAGGTCCTACCTCCTGGCTGCTAGGCATTGAAATCAAGCGTGATTGCTCCTCTCAGACTCTGACTATCTCTCAACAACAGTACATTCTCAACATCTTGTCGTGCTTCAGTATGGCTGACTGCAACTCTGTCTCGACACCTATGGACCCTGGCTCTAAGCTTAGTGCAATTATGGCTCCTCAGACTAAGGCTGAGTTTGATGAGATGCGCTCTGTGCTGTATATCAATGTGGTTGGTGCCCTCACTTATCTCACTGTTGCTACGCATCCAGACATTGCTTACAGCATTGGAGTCCTGGCGTGTTTCAACAAGAACCCTGGCAAGCGTCACTGGAAGGCTGTTAAGCACCTGTTTCACTATCTGAAGGGTACTATTGACTACAAGCTGACCTACTCTCCCTCATTGTCAACTGTGCTGTTCACCACCTTCACTGATGCTGACCATGCTGGGAACCCAGACAATGGTCGCTCTATGAGCAGTTATGTTGTCAAGATGGGTTCTGGTGCTATCTCTTGGTCTAGTCGCCTCCAGTCTATTGTTACCCTCTCGCCTACTGAGGCGGAGTATGTTGCTGCTGTTTCTGCAGCTCAGGAGATTCTCTGGTTGCACAACTTCTTAACTGAGCTTGGTTATTCTCTCTCTGGGCCATCTATGCTTTACATTGACAACCAATCTGCTTTAGCTGTTTCAAAGAATCCTGAGCATCATGGGCACATGAAGCACTTGGATTTGCAGTTTTCCTGGCTGTGGGATGAGGTTGCGAGGGGCAGGATTGGGTTGGCACATCTTAGGACAGATGAGATGCCAGCTGATTGTATGATGAAAGCATTGGCTAAAGGGAAGGTGGAGACCATGGTTCATCTTTTGGGTTTGGTTTGACTTTGCAGAGGTGCCTTGTCAGGGGGGAGTGTTGGCATTAGTGCCTATTCGGACATCAAGACACCCTAGTATGTCTTTCTCTGTCCTTCTTTGACTTGGACCTGTTGTGTCCTGTTTTCATTTTGATGTTTCCTTATT